GGAGACTTGCTTGAGCCCAGGAATTGGAGGTTGCTGTGAGCTGTGATGCCACGGCACTCTACCCAGGGGGATAGCTTGAGGCTTGGTCTCAAAAAAAAAAGAAAAAAAAGAAATTTAGTTACATAGACATATATATTTTTTAAATACCCTTTGAGTAATATTAAAGTATTTTCAGGGCACAGTCTGAAGTATAACTAAACCTATCTTTATCCTTTATAAAGAATTTGTAAGTTGAAAAGAGAAATATATTCTTAGTGGCATTCACTTACTATTGAGTTATTTAGAAGACATGGATATGGCAAATTATTTTACTGATTTTGATCTATGAGTTTCCAGAATAACAAAAACTATTTCTCAGAATCTTTTGTGTGGTTCTTTTAGTTTTGCTGATTTCTATGAACTTAGAATTGTTTAGTTCTTTAGCAGGCTGGAACCTTAATTCCCTCTGTGACAGTATTAGGGCTAGTAAGTCTGAATTAGTGCACGTTGACTTTCTCTTGGATTACTAGTGGTAAAGTTCAATTCTTCTTTCTCAGTGAGAGATGGTCTGGAGATGTCAGGATGTTCACAGCAAGTCCATATGCAGCATGTGGAGAAGCCACCAGGGGCTACAGTTCCTGAGACGAGGCTCAGAGGCTCCTCTGTGACCAGCTCAGTGCCCAGTGAGCCGAGGAGCAGGAGCAGCTCACTCAACTCCACTGACAGCAGCTCTGGGCTCCTGCTGCCTGGGCTTCAGGCAGCCCCCGAGTCAGGCAAGGGTGGCCAGCCCTCCTCACAGAGATTCAGCGTCATTAGCTCTGAAGACTTTGATCAGGAGCTCGTTGTGAAACCTATCAGAGTGAAAAAGAAGAAGAAGAAGAAGACAGGTACTAGCTGTAGCTAAGTACCCACTGGCTCATACAGCTCACTTGGGGGCAATCTTACCAATTCTTTGGGAATTTTGCACATCTCCCCATGCTAGGAATGCTGCTTCCCTCTGAATGAGTGCTAGCATGTTGGTTGGAAAGCAGAGAAGGTCTTCAGAAAATGAATGCATTCCTTCGCCAAAGGAATGTATTTCACACATTAACAGATAATACATATACATATATGTCTCTGCAAGGTTCAGTGACAGAACTCCATTTAAAGGGACTAGGTCTTTTATTTTTCAGTATTAAAATAAAAATGTTGATTTATCTATACATACAATTTATTAAAACAGAGATTCTGTGAACATGGTGAAAGGTCATGGAAATAGGAAAACAGTTTGCGCTGTTGTATAGATGAGATCTTTTACATTTAGTGTTGGATATGTTACCAAATACAGGTTTTAATATTGAAAATTGTTTTAACTTTTTAATTTTTGGTACCTATTAAGCCTATCTAGCTAATGATTACTGCAGTATTGAAGGAAAATTTTATCAGATTCTTAAGCATTTTAATAATTTTTAAAATTTGATCTGTGATACAGTTGAGCATCTCACTTTGGTTTTCTTAGTTAGCATTTCTTCTGTGAAGCATCAGAGCCCATTGGTGTATATATTTGCGTACATATAAATCATCCCTGTGTTGGAATAATTTGTACTTACAAGGTTTATTTTTTATCCACAAAATACCCTTTGTTCAAAATATTTTTTTTTCTTGAGCCAAAAATGTGTTTTTAACTCAGTTTCTTAATCTTCATGTAGAGTCCTGCCTTATTTTCAATGTTCTTATTTTGAATTAGAAGGTGGAAGCAGGAGTACCTGTCACAGTTCCCTGGAGTCAACTCCCTGCTCCGAGTTTCCTGGGGACAGTCCCCAGTCCTTGAATGCAGACTTGCTATCCATGAGCTCAGGTGTTCTGGGCAGTAGTGTGGATCACTTGAGCACAGAGTCTCCTGACCAAGAAAGCAACCTCAGTGGTGAAGTGAATGGTATCTTGCAGGAAAATACTGACCCTGAAACATTTAGTGTGCTGGCAGTACCTGACTCTGCTCCTGTCTTAGTGGATGAAAAAAATGAGATTAGAACTGAAATTCTACACTGCAGCCATGCACATGGGCTGGAGCCACTTGGTGGAATGTTGAGTTTACCCTTGCTCCCTAGGGGAGATGTAGAAGGTGATGTCACAGAGCTGGAAGAGGAGCCTCGTCCTGCAGATGGTGGACCAAATGGCAAACAGTTACTCTTCCAAGAACAGGAGCACTCTGCTGAGGCCCAAGATGGGGAGGGTGTGGAGTCCAGTAACCCCCAGAGCACTTTTTCAGAAGCCTCCCTTTTAGACTCCAGCCTCACCTGGGTCCCAGCTGCTGAGCATGAACAGTGGCTGCCTGGAACTAGAACTGATGAAGGCAGTGCTGAGGAACCCAGCAAGGAGCAGGATATCCTAACCACCGTGGGGGCCCCTGACCACATTGGCTCAAACCCCTGGCATACTGTCACTGACAGTGACAGAGGTCAGGAAGAAATATCCACTTGTGAATGTGATTTGGGGGGTATGGGAGGACAGTTAACTCCAATCTCTGCATTGGCGGCCTGCACCCATGAGCCTTGGCTTGAGTACACCTCACGGGATCAGGCATTGACATCCAGTGATGAGGAGGACATCTATGCCCACGGGCTTCCATCTTCAGCCTCAGAGACAAGCATGACAGAGATTGGAGCCAGTCAGTCCCTGCAGGACTTGGGCCAGCCAGGAGCAGATGACATGGGACTGCTTAAGTCAGATCAGGTATGTGGGTGGCCTTAGGTGGTGAGAAATGTAGTATCTAAAGCTTCTTTCTTACTTAAGGGGAATGATTAGCAAGACTGATTATTTTCGTTCTTATGAAAAGAAATTATATTCTCATTGAAAAAGCTATAGTCCAAATTTTTTTGTGTGTATTTGGTTTTTATTTTTTTGAGACAGTGTCTCACTGTGTTGCCCAGACCAGAGTGCCGTGGCATCACCCTAGTTCATAGCAACCTCAAACTTGTGGGTTCAAACAGTCCTCCTGCCTCAGGCTCCCAGGTAGCTGAGACTACCACAGGCACAATGCCCAGCTAATTTTTCCATTCTTAGTATTTACAGGGTCTTACTCCTGCTCAGGCTGGTCTCAAAATCTTGAGCTCAAAGGAATCTGCCTGCCTCGGCTTCCCGGAGTTCTAGGATCACAAGCCTAAGCTACCACACTTGGCCTGTTTGGTTTTTATTTTTAAAGACAGGACATCACTCTTTTGCCCAGGTTGGAGCGCAATGGTGAAATCATAGCTCCCTGCAGCTTAAGTTCCTGGGCTCAAACAATCCTCCCACCTCAGACTATCAAGTAGCTGAGAGTCTAGGTGTATACCATCATACCCAGATAATTTTTTTAAACTTTTATTGTGGTGGGCCAGGTGTGGTGACTCACACCTATAATCCTAGTACTCTGAGAGGCTGAGGCAGGAGGATCCCTTGAATTCAGGAGTTCAGAGCCAGCCTGAGCAGAAGACCCCACCTCTACTAAAAATAGAAAAAATTAACTGAGCATCGTGGTACATTCCTATAGTTCCACCTACTAGAGAGGCTGAGGCAGGAGGATCGCTTGAACCTAGAAATTTGAGGTTACTATGACCTCGGCTGACTCTCATGCCATGGCATTCTAGTCTGGGCAACAGAGAAAGACTCTCAAAAAAAATTTTTGTATGGTGTCCACTACCCACTTTACCAGCAAAAGCTGAATTGACCTGGGGCTATCTCAGAAAACCAGTGGCAGAGGACTGTCTACCAGTGGAATAGAGAAACCTCTGAACAATTTTAAGGCTGAGTCTCCTGTTGCTATTATTTTTTTATTTTTTTATTTTTTATGTGACCTTCCTGGCAGTAGTATGAGACTCCTGTTTCTCCTCAAATGAACATCTCTGAGGAGCCGTCAGCACAAACAGGGCAATTTCCAGAACTGCTGTCTCCTCCATCCCTGCACTGCAGCTCTAAGACTCCCCTGAAAGCTATGTGGGAGCCATGTTTGGGGTATCTAGTCTTCAGTGGCTTCACCAAGCCCACATCATTAGGAGATAGTTAACTGTTCCTGAGCATTTTATATTAAAGAAAAAAAGATATATATTTTTTTTGTAGAGACAGAGTCTCACTTTGATGCCCTTAGTAAAGTGCCATGGTGTCACACAGCTCACAGCAACCTCCAACTCCTGGGCTTAAGGGATTCTCTTGCCTCAGCCTCCCTAGTAGCTGGCACTACAGGCGCCTACCACAACGCCCAGCTATTTTTTGGTTGCAATTTGGCCGGGGCCAGGTTTGAACCCGCCACTCTTGGTATATGGGGCCAACGCCCTACTCACTAGCACAGGCGCCGCCCAGAAAAATATATTTTTAATGTGCTTACCTTCTAAAGTAGTTATTATTGGATGTCTTTGGTTTCAAAACTGTGTATTTTGATATCTCCTGCTAATTGTCAATGTAAGCTGTGGGTTAAAACTGTGCACTTAAGCCAGATATCTTTCCCCAGGTGTCCCACTGTGTTCTCTCATGCTGACATTGTATGAGACTTGGTCAGCTCTTACCATGTGCAGATGCCTTGCTAAGCACTTTACAAGTTCAACTCATTTACTTCTCTAAAAAAGCAAACTATGAAATTTAGTGTTGTCCCCATTGTACGGGAGGAAATTGAGGCCCAGAACAGTTCAGTGGCTTGTGCAAGGTCACATAGCCAGTGAGAGGCAGAGCAGCCCCAGGACACACACACACACATACACACCCCACCCCCACCCCATGCTGTTGTGCCTCAAAAGTGAAAACTACGGTTTCTTTTGAGACAAAATGCCAGGAGGTTGGGCTTTTATTCAGTCATCCAGTATTCATCTTTTCAACCCAGTGGTTCTTAAGTGCCCTCAATTGTCAGGCTCTGTTTGTGCTGAGGATACCGCAGTGCAGATGGCAGCCAGTTGTTGATCTTGTCTTTGTGAGCCTCAGAATCTCTTGGAGCTGGATACATGCTCAGGTCATTGCCTTTGAGTGGAACTCAATGAGGGTACTGAGCCAATGACAGGTATCAGCCAGGCAGACTGTAAGATGGGATATTGAGAATTTAGATATTCAGAGAAGACCTTACTTAGGTGCAAGGAATCCTGGCCTTTTGAGGAGGACTTTTCCTAAACTTTCTCTCCCTCCAGAGAGCCGGAAAGCCAAAAAAAAAAAAAAAAGTGAACTTTTTTTTTTCCCTGAGGAGGAGGAGGGAATAAGAATTGTCATAGGGAGCAAGGCAGGTTTGAGAAGGGTTGGATACCATTCTCTTTGAAGCATTAACTTCTATATGGATATCTGTGCAAATACATTGATTTTCTTTGAAGTTTTAAAAAATTATTAAAGTATAGAAACTTTATTTAGCTTTGATTTTTAAGAAGAATCCTAGCAATGAAACCCTAGTCTACAAAATTCAGACAGAGCGTCTCAGCCAAGCTCCCAGCAGCCTTTGCTACATACCATGCCATGTTTCTGACTGGAACAGTGCTCAAAAAAATATGGTAAAGGGCCGGGCATGATGGCTAATGCCTGTAATCCTACCACTGTGGGAGGCCAAGGTAGGTGGATTGCTTACACTCAGGAGTTCAAGACCAGACTGAGCAAGAGCCAGGTCTCTAAAAATAGCCAAGTGTTGTGGTGGATGCCTGTAGTCCCAGCTGCTCAGGAGATTGAGGCAAGAGGATCTCTTGAGCCAAGGAGTTTGAGGTTGCTGTGAGCTGTGACACCCGGGCACTCTACCCAGGGTGACAAAGTGAGACTCTGTCTCAAAAAACAAAAAAGAAAAATATAGTGAGAAAAACTAGTGGTGGTATTGCTTCTTCAATGAGTCTATAATGATCAGTCTACAGAGAATTGATTTGCACACAGAAGTTAAAGAGCACAGCTCTTTGTGTAAAGTGAAGTGTACCCCATAGAATAAAACCAGATCCTTTGTAAGGTGATACAGCACTCCAAGTAATACTTTAGGAAGGATGTTTTATAGGACAGAGTGTTATCTAGGGATGTTATGGGGTCTTTACCAAGTGGACAATAGCTCCCTTAGAGGGGTATCCAAAGATAGCAGGGGTAGGGAGTTTCAACATGGCTTCTCAAAGATTCTTTCAGCAGTATCATTTTCATGATACTCTGCTCACTTCTCTTTTTTGTTGATAACAGTAGAACTCATCAGGCTCTCTCCTTGTTAGTTTGCAGAAAGCTGGATGGGCTACTCGGGTCCTGGCTATGGCATACTCAGCTTGGCGGTCTCGGAGAAGTATATTTGGTGCCTGGACTACAAAGGCGGCCTATTCTGCAGTGCACTGCCAAGCGCTGGGCTGCGCTGGCAGAAGTTTGAAGATGCTGTCCAGCAGGTGGCAGTCTCACCCTCAGGTTCGCCTCCTGGCTCCCCAATGCTCAGCTCTAGGTGCAGATATCTTAGCATGTGACTTTCCTGTGTCAGTGTCTGGTTTCCACTGCGGTGTGTTCAGCCACTTGCCTCTTGCCCAGGGTTTGACATCAATTCACAGTGTAAATGAGTATTCAGTTTGAGCTTTTGTTTTTTTTATTAATTGCAGTGGTAACCCATAAATATATTTTTTGTAAGCTATACAAGTTTGAATGTTGAGGGTTTTTTTTTTTTTAGGAATATTTGAATGCTAACTGCTTATAAATATAAAATGTGTTTCTGTTTCTCAGGGTTACTTTATAGCAAATAAACTAATGAAGATGTGCCCATGGATTTGTTGGATCTATTACAATTATTTGGCTGCCTTTTTAGCAATTCTTTTTTAATGAGCCATCTGCTTTGGTGAATAATCTATTCCCTGACTGTAAAAAGAAGAGTCCATTCATTCTTTCAGGCCATTATTAGGCCATTTTTAGTGAATTGGAGCTAACATTTCCTGAATGAGGTACCAGTAGGCTGAAAGACCTCCTTTATCTAAATGGAATTATTTGTTTGTTTGTTTTTTCTTAGTGTTGGCCGTTCTGTATCCATTCTGATAGAGTTTTTGTTTTCTTGGGTTTTTGTTTGTTTTGTTTTAACCTCCAAGTAACTGGTTTACTGTAAGGAGGTGAGAGTACAAGTTAGACAAAGCTGAGTCTGTGGCTTTGGACTTGCCCTTTATAACTTTATAGTTATGTAATTTTAGTTACTAGATGAATTTCCCTTCCCTGGTCTTTGTGACTGTTGAAAATGTTGTGTGTTCAGGCTGAGCACAGTGGCTCTTGCCTGTAATCCTAGCACTCTAAGAGGCCGAGATGGGTGGACTGCTTGAGCTTAGGAGTTCAAGACCAGCCTGAGAAAGAAGGTCTCTTAAAAAAGAAAATATCCAGGTAGTGTGGCAGGTATCTGTAGTCACAGCTACTTGGGAAGCTGTGGCAAGAAGATTGCTTAAGCCCAAGAGTTTGAGGTTGCTGTAAGCTAGAACACCATGGCCTTACTGAGGGTGACAAAGTTATCTTCTGTCTCATAAATAAATAATTTGTTCAGAGTTGTTATACTTGCTTTTTTTCTTTTCTTTCTTTTTTTTTTCTTTTTTTTTTGAGACAGAGTCTCATTTTGTCACCCTCAGCAGAGTGCTGTGGCATCACAGCTCACAGCAACCTCCAGCTTCTGGGCTTAGGTGATG